AATATATAAAGCATATAAAGTCTAGATGGGCACTGGGACTGCTATTAGCACTAGGACTGCTAGATAATACCTAAAATAATCGGAGGCATCTGAAATGATTCCACGTCTTGGACCATTTAAAGGCATAATCGATAGCTAGTAGAGTCTTTCGTGATTCTCAGTATTGTTAATCAATTCACCAATTGCTTATATATAATGCTTATATTATATAGATAGATTACTAATAAAATAAACTCTTCTTTCAGATCTTTGTCACCGCCAAGCCCAACCCCAAATCGGCGCACATTGCTTCTATGGTACGTTTTCAAAAGCCGCCCAAGAATAAGCCCAATTTACGAACATCGCCCGCCCCGTTGCCTGCCCGCCCAAACATACGCGTAACTGTCTCTGGCAATAACAATGTGCGATCAGCTGTGAACAGCAACTACCACCAAAGTAGTCAACAGGGGCAACGCGCTGCCTCACAACAGTATCACCAACAGCAACAATATCACCAGCAGCATCAGCAACAGTTGGCGCAGCAAAAGGCCCAACAATACTCGCCGCGAAAGGATCTGCTAGGCTTGCGTGCGGAACTGGTGCAGAAGCTCGAACAATTGCGTCTGCAACAGGAGCAGCAGCAGCAGCAGGAACGTGACATCCAGCGTCGTCAGGCAGAGTTGCGCGAGGAGCAGAAACAGCAAAAGTTGTTGTTGCAGCAGCAGCAGGCTAAGATCGATATACAGATTCTGCAGCTGCAGGAACGGCACGAGCGTGGACTAGAGGCACAGGCGCGCACCATTGAACAGCTGCAGGCGGATCGCCTGGCGTTGAAGCGTCACTTGGAAATCCTAGAGCAGAAGCATCGTGAAGAGAAGGTAGCTGTGGCAATAGCAACAGCTCAATATCAGATCGCAGTCAACGCTCGGCCCAAAGTGGCAGAGCAAGCAAAGAGTTCGCTTCAGCCCACGCCTCCAGCTTCACCTGTCACAGCTGAGATGAACGGCAACGCAACGACGGCGGCTGCCGCCAGTGCCCGCAAGCCCCATCTGCGTCCCATATTGGGCAATAGCGCGCCATCGCAGCGTCCGGCTCCAATGAGACAGCCAGCGGCAGAGTCTAATCCAGGCCCCGCAGCCGTCGCCGCTCCCAATAAAAGGCCAATGCATCCGCGTGCTCAGTATCCAAATTCGCGTCCCACTGGCGGCCTCTCTGTCAACTATAGATTGAAGCAACAGCAAACGGCAGTTGTTCCACCACGAGCAACAGCAGCAGCAGCAGCAACTTCGCCAACAAATGCTTCGCCAGTTGAGCTGATAACTCCACCAGCTTCGCCAGAGAATGCAGCTGGCAACAATGCTTCGACGCCAGCTGCAGCTGCGCAGCAGCCGCTGTTGCAGGTAAGTTTAATGAGCTCAATTAAATGGAAATGCAATGACTCTGTGATTCCATCACACAGCTTCAACCAATACGTGCCGATATCCACTTCAAGTTCGATCCAGCATACGATGCAATCTCCTCGCTGAAGCAATATTGCGTCGTGTTGGGCTATCCGCCGCCAGCGTACGAGTTTTACAGTGCGAATAAAACCAAAATGCTGCACTGCAAGGTGCGCATCGGCGAGACCATCTACACCAGCTATCCGGAGGCGCACTTCGATGAGCCAACAGCAATGCAGCGCACCGCTGAGGTGGCCGTTGAGCGACTGCAGGCGCTCGAGGCGCGCAAACAACTGTCGATTCTCAGCGATAATGAATTTCTCGATGGCCTGTACCAGGAGCTGATCAAGCATCCGCATGGCATCGTCAGCCACAAGCTGCCCGAATGGTACGAGGCGAATGTGAGGCGCCAGGTGCCCAGCAATTGGTGGTCCCTGATCAATTCGTCGCCCAAAATGCGCATCGAGAGCAGCGTCAACACGCACATTGTATTTGCCAATACTGAAAGCACTTCGCCCGTCGCCTTGCAGCAGCCGAGCAATGTTGGACCGTTGGCCATGCCAGAGCTGCAGCTGCCGTGGGCGGATGGCCAGCTGGATTGGAGTATGTACATCACACACTGTGACAACACGACGCATGTCTGGGCGCGCCTGATCGATCAGAGTGCACAGTTCGAGAAGTTGACCGAGCAGCTGAATGCGCATATGTCACGCCTGCAGAATCGTCAGCCGGTGCCACAACAGCCCGTGGAGCAGCAGATCTATGTGGTGGAGGTCAGCGATAACTGGAATCGTGTGCGTGTCATATCGTTGGATGCGGAGCAGCGGCAGTGCAGCTGCCACTTTGTGGACTTTGGCGACGAGGTGATCTTCAGCTATGACATGCTCTATGTGTGTCCATCGAAATTCCTTTCGCTGCCCGCTCAAGCCGTGTGCCTCAGCATGTATGCCCTAGACAAGTTCGAGGAGCACCCTCATGCACTGCCCGTGCTGGCCAAGGAGCTGGCCGGGCATAGCGTTGTCACTCGCATCATTACCAGCGAGGCACAATTCCTCAAGGCTGGTGGACTGGCTCAGGGTGTGCTGCTGCCCCAGCGGGAGACATCCGCGACAGAAGAGAATGGCAGTGGAGTATCGCTGGTGAGGCGTGCGTGCATTGTGGGCACCTTCTATGATACCTCCACAGCGGAGGATATTCATCTGAATGATTTGGTGGCCAATCAGATTATTCGCAATACGCCCGCACCGATGCTGAAGCTGGAACAGAAGCCGAATCATGTGCTCGTCTCGCACGTGAACGACGTGGGCGACCTGATGGTGCAGCTGCCCAACGAAGATCTCAAGTTTGTGCAGCGCAGCATTGCCCGGATCATGAGCGACAGCAGCGAACAGCATCGCGTGCGCTACTCCGATCTGCTGCACGATCAATTGGTGTGCGTGTGCGACGAGGCTGGCGATGGGCTGAAGCAGTGGTATCGTGGAATGCTCACCGCCAAACCGAAGAGTCCCGAGGAGGAGGTGTTCGATGTGTATTACGTGGACGATGGACGATTGCGCAAAACGCACATCTCCAACATTTATCGCCTGGAAGCGAACAATCTGGCCCTTGCCTCCTATCCGGCTCAGGCCTTGCGCGTGCGTCTGCACGATGTGCCGCCGATAGATAACCAAATGGTGGTCCGACTACGTGGCCTGCTGTCGCCTCAGACGCCAGTGCTGGTAAGCTGGAGAGTCGAGTAATTAATATGAAAACAATATCGTTAATATAAAACTCTTCTGCTTCATCGACAGCTCAAGGTCACGGAGGGCGCCAACGATAAGCTGCCGATGGTAACGATTCATGCTCGCGGTCAGGATAGTCTCTATCTTTGCCTGAACAGTGCAATTCGTGTGGAGTACGAAGTGCAGAGGTAAGTTGAGACGATCATTACTTTTACTCATACAAATCATTCTTACATCTGCACACACACACTCTCACACACACACACACACGCACACGCACAAACTTGTTTTGCTCTTCTGTGGTTTAATGATAGTCTCTAATTAGTGCTTTCAATAAACTGGAACTGACATGAAACTATCGCTACAAAATTATCTCAACATTAACGACTCCTTCAACCAACTCACAGCATCCCGTAAGCTAACCTTCGTTCGTTCGTTCACCAAGTGCTTAGCTTTAAGAACTCATCTAATATTCATCAATGTATATAAAATACAAAAAAAAAAAAAAAAAAAAAAAAAAAAAAAAAAAAACAAAAGATAAAAGGGTTAAAGTAATAATAACAGCTGTACTGCCAAAAAGCCAAAATAGAGTTTTCATATAATACCTCCTCGCCTTCCCTCTTCCAATTGCACTTTTATCCATCCACCATCCATTTCGATTCCTTGTTGCCTATTGCCCCACTTGTCCACGCTCCTATCCAACTTTGCCCCATGTTTCATAGCACGACTCGACTGGAGCCGTTCGATGACTGCGGCCTGCACTTCAGTCCCAGCGGTCAGCTGATTCGTCGCAGCAGCTTCAGCTCCACGGTGTCCAGCCAGAGCAGCTGCAGCGATCAGCCGACAGTAGCAGCAGCAGCCGTTGGGCTTGCCTCGCCGCCCACCACGCCCAGCAAGGCGAAGAGCAGCCCCCTGCTTCCCGTACTAAAGGAGTACGAGGCCATACCCGCTGTCGGTGCCTACTTCGAGGTGCGCGTAGCGCTCTCTGTGAATCCAGGTCACTTTGCAGTAAGTACTTAACATCATATCATCATCAGCAATCCAGCTAATCCCGTTTCTGTTCTTCTCCCTCTCACAGGTGCAGCCATACAAGTGGTATAATCAGCTGCAGCGCATGATGAAGGATCTGCAGGCGCATTGCAAGAGTCCAGCAGCGCAGACCGTGCTGCCGGCACAGCTAAGCATTGGTCAGCCCTATGCGGCGGCAGATGCCGATGGCGTCTATCATCGGTGAGTTGCTCAAAAATTTGCTTAGCCAAGGTCAAATATGTAATTCCCATTTCTGTTTACTTGCAGCGTAAATATACGAAAGATTTACGATGAAATGATACACGTGCGCTATGTGGACGCAGGCGACGATGGAGTCGTGCGCTGCAATCAGCTGTTGCAGCTAACACCGGAGTTCAGGGAGCTGCCTATGATGGCGCTGCCGGCACAGCTTCATGGTGAGTGAAAACAACAATCCAAACCGTTGTCAACTTTTCATTTAACTCCCATTTTGCTTGTTAGGCATTCAACTGGCTGGCATCGACTGGACGCAGGAGAATTGTTTGCGGTTTCGTAAGCTGACGCTGGGCCAGAAATTTATTGGCATTGTGAGACGCGTGGATAAGCTGAAGGATGAGCGGCGTGCGCTCAGCTTGGAGCTGATTGATACCTCAACGCCGCAGGACATTAAAGTGCACGAAACACTGATAAGCGAGAAACATGCGCTGCCTGCACCATGATACCATACTATAACGATCTTCCTCAATTAACGACTCATTTGTTTTGTTTAGGTTTATTTGTTTAACTGATGTGTGGCCCACAGATGCATATAAACACATACATACATATATATAACTATGAGAGCCAACATTCCGAAATTCTATAGTACCTAAGCATATGTATATCTATTATTATTATTATTATTATGTTACTGAGTTGTATTCAAACGCAAAGCGCAACAATAAATTATGATATTTTGCTACCGAGAGAATGGATGAACTTGATTGGCCGATTTGATGTTCGTCTTGACGGCCGAGGGCGCCTTGCCCAGCTGCTGTTGTACATTGCCCGGACTCATGGATGGGCCGCCCATGGGCGGAGTGGGTCCGCGTATGGACGGTGGCACCATCATGCCGGGACCAGGTCCTGGTCCATAGTTGGCCTTGTACTGCAGACCTTTGCCCATGCCCACGGTTGCCACGAGCAGCTGAGTGTCTGTCATGCTGCTTGTCTGCTGGATACCCGTGCGTGAACTGGACTCAATTTCCCATTCCTCGCGCGCTTTGCTCACCATATCCAAGACGTGGGATACCACCTTATTGTACTGCGTTACTTGTTTCATAGCCGCATCGTTGGTTAGATTGGCTGCCTTCTGCTCGTTCTGCTGCATCTTCTGCTCCGTAATGGGATCGGGCCGTGTGCGCAGGTAATCCGGCACAATATCGTGCGAAAAGACAGGCACACGGCCTTCGGTGATGTTAACCAGCGTTTCGTCGCGATCCATTGAGACGAGCAGCGGCAGCACTGTTCGATTTCGAAGCGGTGGACACTGCTCCTTGGCCAGAATCTTAGTCAGACCAGTCAGATGACTTGATATGATGGCAAAGTTATCCAGAAAAGTTGGCCAATTGATATCCATGTACTCCATTTCCAGTTTTTGTATCATGGATAGCACTGCTAACTTTAAGTCGTTGAGACGCTGCAATATTGCGTCCAACGTCATTTCAAAGTGCTTCTCTTCGCGCTGCATTTTATTTTAATTTTCTTATTTAAATATTACAGGCAACAATTTTATTGCTGCTCAAATTAGCAACTATGAATCGTTTGACAGCTGTTTCAGATTGTATATCGATAAGTTGGTATTTAAATACTGCATGTACGATTATGGATTTATATTTATAACGATAGTCGTGAACCGATTAGCTAAGGCGATTATTTTGCCGGTCAGTTGAAAATGAAATATTTTTCAGCCAAACTGATATTTTGTATATATGTATCATTGTTTATTTCTTTAAGATTTGTGGAGATATCTCTAATCTTTGGCAAAGTGTTGAGTTTGTATTGATATTACAATTTGGAATAGAAGGACTCGTGCACCACCATTCCCGGCTGAATGTCTCTCAACGTTTGGCAACCGGTCAGTGACATAGTGATTTCAAAATCTTTTCGCAGTACACTCAGCAACTGCTCGACGCCGCTTTGTCCATTATAGGCCAGGCCATAGACAGCCGGACGTCCTATGAAGACGGTCTTGGCGCCCAATGCCAATGCCTTGAAGATATCGTTTCCCTGCATAATGCCGCCATCTAACATTACAACCAGATCGTTGCCCACAGCTTTTGCCACCTCGGGCAATGCTTCTATGGAAGCTGGTACGGTGTCAATTTGCCTGGCGCCATGATTGGAGACAATCACACCGGCACATCCGAATTCCCGGGCTAAGACGGCATCCTCTGCGGTCAATACGCCTTTCGCAATGATGGGCAGGTTTGTTAGCTGCTTAAGCCAAGCAATGTCCTTCCAGGTAATGCTGGCATCGAATTGGCTGGCCACATACTCGTTTATGCCAGATCCACCCATAGTTATTACGCCATTCGCCAAATCTCCTTGGAAGTTCGCCAATTTCAAGTGCGACGGCAAACTGAATTTGTTGCGAACATCGCTGCGCCGGTGGCCAAATATTGGCGCATCAACGGTTAGGACAAGTGCCTTGAAATTTGCCTTTTCAGCGCGGCGCACCAATTTCTCGGTAAGTGATCTGCAAAGAAAATTTTAATTAATTTTAAATGGCGCAAGTCATCGATAATCTTTGTCATTGCCCTCTGTTATCGACTAGCATCGATGCCAAAGTTCAGTTATTTGAATTTTTGAACGACCTACCGATCTTTGTAGATATAGAGTTGGAACCATTTGCAAGTATCGGGCGCTCCAGCCGACAAATCCTCCAGCGATGTGGTGGAAAGTGTGCTCAGGATGAATATAGAACCAGCTTTGCCTGCGGCGCGTGCGTTGCCAACTTCACCATCGGGATGCGCCATCTTCTGCATAGCTGTTGGAGCGATGCCCACTGGCCACTTAAGCTGCTGTCCCAGAATCTTGCAACTAATATCGACGTGAGAGACATCTCGCAGAAACCGTGGGCGCAGGCGCAATCTATCATTAAAAATGGCGTTGGAAATTAAATCATAAATTGATGAAAGACTTAAAAACCTTTTGAATGCCTCGCGATTTAGTCCTAGCGTAAACTGCTCTCCGGCTCCACTTCGATAGTAGTCCAAGGCATTTTTCTCCAGCTTAGTGAAAGCTTTCTTCTCAAAATCTTCCACACAAACTAGCTCCATGTTTCAGATTAAAGTTATGCAACAAACGAATAATCAAATCAGATCTTCAATCGCAATACGGAATCCAAATATTAGCTGTTGCTCGACTAATGCGACGTTCCGTTAAATATTTAACGGAATATACAATCAGTAGAGACTAGATCTAACTTCCGATAAAATTGCTCTTCAATTGAATCTAACTTCTAATAAGAATTTCAGCAATGATGACCTCCGTACAGCTGCTCGCGCTAGACTGAATCTGAGTTCCATAACAGACTCGCTGGTGGTATCAACAGCATTTATGACGTCGTGATACGACGACCAACAGCAGCCACTGATAACTGAAACTTAAAGTAAACACTCAATTTAAGTCGCGCACGGATCATTCAGATGCACAGAGATGAAACAGTAAGGTTCACCTTGCCCGACTAAAATATACCCTACCTATCAAGCAGCTGTATATAAGTGGTCAGGTGACATTCTGAGTAATCCCATTTGATGCAAATAATTCTCGAACATAATTTATTGCAGGTTTATGTTATCGTTATTATATTATCATTATAAGTATGCTCGTATTTTGTAAGCTGCTGCCCTCATCCACTCTCAGCGAATGCATGCGAGTTGACCGATCCCCAGGCTCAGCGTGATTCGAGCTACGTTGTTTAAATTCTCACTACAGATTTTACTTTTCTTTGCTCTCGCTTTTATTGCTCTTTAATATGCATGCATGCATGTGTGTGTATGCGACTAAGGCAGCGCTCATGTCCTCATATGTGTAAGTATTACCGTTCCTTGCTCCAAGCTCTAAGTAGTTCTCTCTATGCATTTGCTCCCTCTGCTTACGCTTACTGCGCTTTCGTATGTATGCTTCTGTACATGTAGATGTGCTGCGAAAGTTCTTGTAAATGTATTAGTACTTATTTGACTGTATGCATGACTGTTTCTGCTCGTTGCACACTGTGTTCTCCTCGTTTCGATTCCAAAGTTCCATAGCTTAGACGAGAGCGCTCTCCCGTAACAAAACTTTGTCGCTTAGTTTTATGAATAATTTATTATTATTGCATACATCATTATTTATTATAATTGTAATTATGCTAATAATTACTAACACTAAATATTACAAAGAATTTATGTATTCAAAGTTTTAGCTTCAAAGTATTATAATTCAAGTTATCTTAATGATCATTATTACTATAATAATTATAAACAATTGCCTAAAATTATTAACTTTTAACTACTATAATTTAACTTAATATAACAATTAATATTATTAACCACAATTTAATCTAAATAAACACTTACCACACACACACACGCCAGCAGGAGGAGGAGGAGGAGAGGAGAGCCACTGCGCTGCACTGGACCACCGACCCAGAGGTCAGCCAAACGACTGAAGAAGGCCTGCTCAGAGTTCCCTTTATATGGGGGGCTCCCACTCAACTCGAGCTCACTGCTAGAGTATTCGTGTGAGTAGCACTCGATCGATCGAGTGACTAATAGGAAGGCTTGCTGCTCCGCTTGAGCATTCCAGCTTACTGTTATATATATGCGGGTATGTCTGTAGCCTTAAAGTAATATACCCTATTGGGTATATACACGAAATGAAAGGGCAAATGTTAGGACAGTTCTGCGAGACTAAAGTTCGCTGATAACGCTTGCGGTTCACACTTATTCAAATTTATTGACTTTTTGGTCGTAATTTGTGCAGAGATAATTTGACGAAACGTAAGACTAATACTATATTATATCATAGGACAGTGTCTTTTTTTCAACAAACTTTAATTGCATTAAAAGTTATATACAAAAAAATGTCAACAAAAACTCAATAAATATACAAAAAATAGTTCAACAATTAAACGCTATATGTTTCCTTTAGGTTCCTGAAATATTCTAAATCACTTTGGCTAATTGAAGGCACAAATTTCCTGAAGGACGTTGTAAAGTCCTCCGACTCGACGATAATGTGCTCAGCACTCAACTCCTTGGCCTCTCGGCCGCAGCTCTCATGTTTGCCAATGATGCGTCTGACTGCCGATAGCCAGGCATTGGAGCAAATGGAGTAGAGATCAGCGCCGCTCATTTCACTCTTCAGATTCTCTGCGATCTGGACCAAGTCAACGTCGTCCGCCAGATTAAAGCGTTGGGTTTGCGCACGCAGCACAGCGGCCTTGTCATCGGGCGTCGAGCATGGGCCGACATAAAAGAGTTTATCAAAGCGTCCGGGTCGCAGCAGCGCCGGATCGATTAGATCCGGACGATTTGTGGCAGCGAGTATAAAAATGGGCTTTGTCGCATCGCCACTGGACATGCCGTCCATTTCGGCCAGTAGCTGAGATACGACGCGATCCATGACACCGCCCGAGTCGCCAGCAACGCCACGATTGGGCGCCAACGAATCCAGTTCATCCAAGAACAGGACACATGGGGCAGCGGACCGGGCACGGGTGAAGACCTCACGCACATTCTGTTCGCTCTGGCCCACGTACATGTTGAGCAGCTCGGGACCCTGGACCGAGAGGAAACTCAGATTGCATTCGGTGGCCACCGCCTTGGCGACCAAAGTTTTGCCCGTGCCCGGTGGTCCGTAGAGTAAGATGCCAGAACGTCGCAGGTTCTTGCCCATCAAATGAACGTGTTTCAGCGGCAGTCCAATGCTGCTTTGGATCTCATCCTTCAGCTTAGAGAGACCTCCGATATCGGACCAGTATACCTTGGGCACCTTGGGCGCACCCAAGCTGTCGGCAAAGGAACTCTGCATATCATTCAGATTTTTAGAGAAGTGATCTAAGGTCAGATGCGTTTGTCCATCTGACGATTGGCGTCGCTTAAGTCGCACTGCATTATCATAAAGCAGCTGCAGATCACCCAGCATAAATCCCTGCGACTTGGTCGCAACCTCTTCCAATACATCCTTTACAATTCCCCACTGGGGACAGAGCTTGCTCATGTATTGGGATTGCATGTTGAGTGGGAAGAGCGGCAGCTTGGCCAATGCCTTCTGATTGTAAATTGCATCATTGAAGGACTCGCGCACGTGCATCCATTTCAACAGCTCGAAGCGCTCCGATTGGTTGGGTGCTTCAATGTTGATTATCTCCAGGAACAGGCTCTGGATCATGGGCTTCAGATGACGGTCACTGGTCAAGGCAACAACAACGACGGGATATTTGCGATCGCGTGAAAATAGCTCCTGGATCTGTACATGAAAGGCGGAGAGCAGGCGAAGATCCTCATTGCCTTCGTTGTCAATGCCAAAGATCTAAGAATTGAATATAGAGATTATAAATTTCTAAGTTATTTCAGAAACTGATTCGATTACCTCAAAGTTATGGAAGCAAATGATTAGCGGCTCGCTAACCTGACTCTTGGCAAACACCGCCTTCAGCTTCATCTCGGTGTGCGATGGAACTTGTGACACAATCTCAGCACAATCGGCTCCATATAGATGCATGCCCAGCTCCTGGGCAACGGCAGTGATGAGTTTCGTCTTGCCAGAGCCGCGATCGCCCTGCAGCAAGAAGACCGGAAAGATGTGCTTGGAAGACAAACAAGCAGAGCGTTTGGGCAAAAAGGCATCCACCGAGGAGCGCAGCATCTGGTATGGCCTGCGCAAGCCACTGGGATAATTGTTGGCTATGGCACAGCTGTCGAGAGCCTGGCGTGGCAAAAAGCTGTGCACATGCGGCACCTGCACCAAATTGCTGAAGTTCTTGGCCACAACTGCCTGCACCTCAAATTCACTGCCCTTCGCCTCCAGGTGAACGCAGCGGAAGTAAACCTCACGCAAATAGGCGAATATCAGATAGTAATGGGCAAAGGCAGCTGTGCCCACCAGCTGGGCATTCACCTCGATGCGATAGATGTGACCGCGATGGAGCATGCGCGGAGTATTGAAATAGTTGGACAAGATCAGCTCTGACACCTCAGCGGGCAGTTCATGTGGATTGTTGAGCAGATACACCTGAGCTTTCGTGGCAATCGTGGGTATTGTCTGTTCATCATTGAAGGTGTCCAACTGCACCCAGCAGTTGTTGCGCTTCTTATTGTTGCCGCAGCGCTCCATTAGGTTGCCATAAAAGTTTTCCTAGAAATAATAATAGAAATAATAATAATAATTTCCTAGAAATAATATATATATATAGTCTATTTAATACTTACCTTTACATACAGACAATTGCTCTGGCATTGTGCATTTTCTATCGGCAATATTTGTGCCACGATGGTATATGGCGTCTCCTGTAGGATTTGTTTGACCACTTCGGAGCTATCCCAGCTGCGAACGGAGCCACTTTTCGGATTCGCCTTGCTGCTCCACGCTCCGCGCACAATCAAATTGACAAAATTCACATCAGCCGACTCGGCGTAAGCATCGTAAACATCCTTGCTGGCAAAGATGATGTGTTCCGATTTGATCAGCTCGTTCTTGATCAGCAACTCGTAGAGCTGATTGGGCACGGGGGTGAGCAGAAACTTGCCCCTGTAGTATTTGGCATAGCGCCAGTATACCGCATATATCAAATAGCCAGGGAAGAAGAACCAGGGCCACCTCGGCACCAGCAATTGCACCGTCGCATTGTATGCCTCGACCAGCTCCTGCATGCGTCCTGTGAAACTGTAACGTGTTTCCGGTGTCGTGGCGGCATCATTGTCAATGGATTTGGCTGACTTAAGGCCAACTTTTTTCTGTGAAGGTCAAGTATATTAACTTAAATATAATCAGAGAGATAAACATGTTAACCTACCGCAACAAAATCAACATCGCTCATTGTGCGAAGACATAAAAGACAAAGGTTACTTTTGGGGCAGGCAAAGTCTAAATGCTCGGGATTGGGATCACAGGTACAACAATATATACACGCACAAAGTTATTCTGCAAATAGCTGTTAACCATTCTAAATGAAGTTAATAGTGCCGCAACTTATACAAATATTATTAATAGAAATTACACTCTGATTACGTACCTTCTTCACAATTACTCTTTTCTTCATGTCTTCTTCTAGTTTCTGTAAAAAATACCTTTTTTCTTTACAAGCTTTAAAAATGTATTCAGAATTAATTAAAGCCTTTAAGCCTTTTTTGTTAGAAATATATTTATATTTATTAGCTATAAATATTTCTCGTTCAAGGCATGGTTGAACTGTTAGTGTTGCACAATTGATAAAAATACTAAAACGCACAGATAAAAATACCTTTATTATTATTTATCGATAATCTCAAAAGTACCCCTGCCTGCATTAAATACACAACTACCCAAAAATCGCTATCGTTATTACCAAAACAAACACAAGCAGTAAAATATAGTTTATATTTCGTTTAATAATGAGTTTAGACGTAGCAAACGTAAATGGAGGCAATGGCAATGAGAATCCATCACATTCACAGGACAAACGCGAACTACTCTGTTTGCTTAAACTACTGAAAAAATACCAATTAAAAGGAACAGAGGAGCTGCTCTGCCAGGAGGCAAATGTCAACAGCGCAGATTTGTCAAATATTGACGATGACGATGTTAAGACGGTGCTTAACGCGGCGCTGTCTTTGACGGAGGATAAACTCAATCGTCAGGCAGCGGCGGCGGCAACAGCACTATCCAACGAATCGAAGGCGGCAACCGAAACCAACGCCGCCGAGGCGCTGGCAAAATTCATTGGCGACGATGCATTCGATGCCCAACAGTACGAGCAGGCGTACGAGGAACTGCGAACATTTGTGGAGGAATCTTTGGACATCTATAAGCACGAATTGTCCATGGTGCTCTACCCAATACTAGTGCAGATCTACTTTAAGATTCTAGCCAGTGGTCAGGTGGAAAAGGCGCGCGGATTTATTGAGAAATATAAATCAGATCTCGATGGGTATTATATAGAAGGGCTCTTCAACTTGTTGCTGATATCGAAGCCCGAGGAGCTGCTGGACAACGATCTTGTGAATGCCATGGAGACCGACAAGTTCGTGATACGCATGTCCCGGGATGCCCATTCCCTGTTTAAGCGCCACATTCAGGATCGGAGGCAAGAGGTTGTGGCCGATATTGTATCCAAGTATCTGCATTTCGACACCTACGAGGGCATGGCTCGGAACAAGCTGCAGTGCGTGGCAACGGCGGGCTCCCACACTGGCGATGCGAAGCGCCAGGACAACAAAATCCGCGTCTACTACGGCCTGCTCAAGGAGGTGGACTTTCAGACCCTGACCACGCCCGCACCAGCGCCTGAAGAAGAGGACGACGATCCGGATGCACCAGATCGACCCAAAAAGAAGAAGCCCAAAAAAGATCCGCTGCTGTCGAAGAAATCGAAATCTGATCCCAATGCCCCGGCCATAGATCGTATCCCTCTGCCGGAGCTAAAGGATGCGGACAAATTACTTAAGCTCAAGGCGTTGCGCGAGGCCAGCAAACGTCTGCCGCTCAACAAGGAACAGCTGCCCTCTGCCGTATTCTATACAATACTTAATTCCATGCAGGGCGTCACCTGTGCCGAGATTTCTGATGATTCCACAATGCTCGCCTGTGGCTTCGCGGATTCCATAGTGCGCATTTGGTCATTGACGCCAGCCAAACTGCGTGCTTTAAAAGACGCCGAGGCGCTACGAGAACTGGACAAGGAATCGTCCGATATCAATGCCCGCATGCTGGACGAGCGCAGCGGTGAGATGACGCGCTCCTTCCTTGGCCACACGGGTCCCGTCTATCGTTGCGCATTTGCGCCCGAGATGAATCTGTTACTCTCCTGCTCGGAGGACAGCACCATTCGGCTGTGGTCACTGCTAACCTGGTCCTGTGTGGTCACCTATCGCGGCCATGTCTATCCGGTGTGGGATGTACGCTTTGCGCCGCATGGCTATTATTTTGTATCGTGCTCCTATGACAAGACCGCTCGGCTCTGGGCCACGGACTCGAATCAGGCGCTGCGCGTATTTGTCGGGCATCTGTCAGACGTAGACTGCGTGCAATTTCATCCCAATTCCAATTATGTGGCCACCGGTTCTAGCGATCGTACGGTGCGTCTGTGGGATGTGCTCACTGGCCAATCCGTGCGCCTGATGACCGGACACAAGGGCACCGTCAGCTCCCTCGCCTTCTCCATTTGCGGCCGTTACCTGGCCTCCGGCTCGGTCGATCACAACATCATCATCTGGGATCTGTCGAATGGGTCGCTGGTCACAACGCTGCTGAGGCACACGAGCACCGTGACCACGATTACCTTCAGCCGGGACGGCACCTTGTTGGCTGCCGGCGGACTGGATAACAACCTGACGCTATGGGACTTCCACAAGCTGACCGATGATTATCTGAGCAATCAGATAACCGTGTCACACCACCAGGACGAGAACGATGAGGATGTCTATCTGTTGCGCACGTTTCCCAGCAAGAATTCGCCGTTCCTGACGCTACACTTCACGCGTCGCAATCTTCTGATGTGCGTTGGTCTCTTCAAGAGTTAGTTTCCCCAGTATATCGGAGATTCTCTAATATATATTTTTACTTCCACTTTTAAGCCAGGCAGTCACAATTTATTGCTGCACAATTGGAAATTTGTAATTGATTCGATTTGTTTTTGTAAGCTAAATTTAGGATTTAAAATAGTTGATTCGTAACCTTGTAATTAAGTTTAAATGTGTGACTACTTTATAAATATATTATGCTCCTTCTTTTTTCTAAATTTTACGTGGAGTCTTGTGGGATGCTCTCTTTATATGCTTTATGGAATGTTTTAGTTGTAGCAGATCTCATATTTATGTATATAGCCTTGATTGTCTATAGCCTTGACAGTCTATGCGACTGTCTCTCTATCCTACATAATGTGTGTCCTCCTTTGATATAGAAAGAAAAGTTGAGTAGGTCAGCAGCAGCGAGCCTTCCTATTGGTCACTCAACGATCGAGTAATACCTACTCAGACGAATGTTTGAGAACAGAGCTCGGGTTGAGTGGGAGCCCCCCATATAAAGGGAAGTCTGAGCAGGCCTTCTTCAGTCGTTTGGCTGACCTCTGGGTCGGTGGTCCAGGGCAGCGCAGTGGCTCTCCTCCTCCTCCTGCTGGCGTGTGTGTGTGTGGTAAGTGTTTATTTAGATTAAATTATAGTTAATAATATTATTTGTTATATTAAGTTAAATTGTTTAAGTTAATAATTTAAGAAATTGCTTATAATAATATTAATAATAATGTTTTTTAATATAAGTACATTTTTAAGCGGAGAGCGTTCTCTACGAAGCTGTGGAACTTTGGAATGGAAACGTGGAACGAACGTGGAGCATTCAGGGAGAAGCAACATTTACACATACAGTCGGTAGGCAACGAGCAGTGACATTTACGCATACATACATGCGTGCATAAGAAGAGAGAGTAAAGAAAGTATGCGGAAGACAATTATGCAGAGCAAGAACACATACACATACTTCGAGCTTCGAGCAATCGTCAGCAACGAAAAACAAAACTTTTGCATACAGGCTGCCTTGGCAGTACACACACATACATACTTGCATGCATGCGTAGGAGAGAGCATTAAGTGTAAGCATTAGGAAGTAATGCATAGTGAGAAATGCTGAAAATAACGGACCTTATGCTCATGCTCACACTCACACTTACACTGCGCCTTGGGATTGGTCAACTTGCATAGCTTCTCTGAAAGAACCAGAGGGAGATAGTAAAGATTACAGGCATACCACGAAATGAGTGAGAGCTGCTTTAGAGGTGCTATATATCTATGTATGTGTTCGTTTTAATTTATATAGTTAATTTGTAACCTGTAATAAGTTTAGAAATATACATTTGTATTTTAAATGAATATGTTTTATTAACATACAAATTTATTATCGTTGGACTTGTCATACAGAATTTAATGGGATTTTATTCAGCATCGGGAATACCAAAAGTGCGACGCACTGCCTCGAAGTTCTTGATATTGAATACGGCACAACGTGGTGGCTTCTCACCGCCAAAGGCGAGCGTATAGGGATCCTCTGGACACTGTCGCATGCACTGCAGGCGGCCCATGTTGAAGTCGTGCTCGTAGACATGTTTTGGTTCGGTGCTATTGAAATTCCATATTTTCAGCGTGCCTTCGGTCGAGGTGGAGGTCAACAGATTAGGCATTTCCTTATTGAAGCAGACACCAGAGATTTCTTCGTTGTGCGCCTTCACGGACCACAGCAGCTTCTTGGGCTGACGCTTGTCGGCGTAGTGTAAGCTGCCGTCATTGGTGCCAATGATGAAGTAGTTTGTCTCCGTTGGATGCCAAAGGACTTTCTCCACCTCGCCGCTGATCTGCCACTTGACAAACGCCGAGTCCACATTGTCTGCATCGCGACAGTCGAAGAGACGCACCAAGCCATCAGAGCAGCCGGTGAGTATGCTCTGCGCCTCCTCCGGATGGAATTCTATGCTCTGTACCTTCTCCTCGAAGGCGGTAATTGTCGTATGTGGTTGCCCCTCGTCCATGTCCCACAGTATGAGGGTTCGATCCACTGAACCACTCGCTAGAATGTGCTCGAATTGGGGATTCCACGATAGGTCGAGGACAGCATCTGTATGACCGTACTGTTCCTTCTGTTTTTTGCGGTTGCCCTTGGAGCCAAGCTTAAATGTTGGTTCTATGGAATCCTGTATATCCAGATCCCAGATCGTGATAACCGGATCCATGCAACCAATGGCGCACATATTGCCCGGCTTATCGCTGCCCGCATCGTGATTCATCCACTCGATGCAAAGGGGAAAACTGGGCAGCAGGAAGTCGTGATGTGTGTAGAGCGCCTGCTCCTCCTGGTTAAACACCCAGACTTCCATGCTGGCGGCGTCGTCCTGCACATGGCCGACAAGCACCAAATTATCTGTTGGCTTAATCACCTCATCCTCAGCCTCTGAATCCTCGTCCTCATCCGGCACCTGTTCATCGGCAACGTTGGCAATATTTGTTACAGTTGAATTTTCTTCATTTTCATAATTATCGAAATCGAACTCGTCATCTTGGGAATGGCCATTGTTGGCAGCGACATCTTCACGATCTACATCCATATCCTCCTCATCCTCATCATCATCGTCGTCATTGTCATCATCGCCTTCATGCAGCTGATCTCGCGTTTCGCCAATAATGCGCGCTAGCTCCGATTGTGTTAAGACAATTTTTTCGGGCCTCTCTTTGGTGACGCCGCGTGGCACAAAACACAGAGCAGGCACAAAGTCTATGCTTGGCTCCGCTGGACCATCGCCGGGCTCCGTCATTATTATATTACTATAAACAACGAAATTAAGAGTGTTAACACGTGCACGAGTCAAGTACAAATATTACGCTAATTTATGCCACAGCTTCGCAAAGCTGGTCACGCTGCAAGAAAAAATAGAGTGGTCAAGTTGCATTTTATGCTAACCAATTAATCGTAAGTAATCGATTATTTTTTAAGGTGCAACATTTTTAAAAATTGCTATTAGCATGCCAAATTTACATTTATTTACTAAAATGAAAACTAAAATTCATTGGTGTAATCAAAATTCACATTTATTTATTTAGAAGTCATATCTATGTGCCACGATAAGTGGTATAGCCAAATGGACTAATTAGGAGCGGAATATGATAACTTTGAGCTTCACAACAATCCACAACAACATCTATTGCTGGATAAAAGGTTTTTATATTTTGCTCAGCAAAATATGAGCCCACTTGAAATGTTAATTTATAGATGCCATTGATAAAATCAGCTTCTGCCAACAACTGACAGCGTCCATCTGCATTCGTTTGTGCCGGTTTAATTGCAATCCATTCCTGAAATTCGTTTAGGCGATAAACGGTTACTTTGACGTTGGAAGCTGCCTTTCCAGTTGATGTGTTTAGCACATGCGTTGAAAGCTTACGTGCGTTCATTGCAAATGTCCAAAGATAACTGAGAAAAATGTAGCTAATCTTTAAAAGGGTTCGCATGAAATATAAATGTAATCATTTTAGATGATATATTGCTGATAAACAAATAGATAAGGTAGAAGTAGTAGGATAAAATGGGTTATTGAGTAAAAGAAAAATTTCGTTAGCACAACAAAACAATTTTTTTTTTTGCTGATCTCGACTTTTATATTTAATTTTAAAGATTCCATACATGTTTGCTTCAATTATATCACAAGTTATATTTCATGTTAATAATTCCATTAAAAACATCAATAAATTAAACTATTAGAACTACCTGTTTTTAGCATCAACGGATAAAAGCTAGCAGAAATATGTTAACTAACAGCCGATTGTAACAAACAAACTATCGTATATCGATAGCATTATGATTTCAGAGAAAAATAACAGTGCACTGCTCTGTCCGATTACGAACTACTGCTGCTGCAGCGCTAACAGTTTGATTTTGTTATTGTAAAAATTGTTTTCGAAGCGGTCGGGTCGGCTGTGTTGCGTCGGAGCGTAAGCGTATCGCGACTTTGCAAGAAGTTATAGATATCCAAGTATCAACAAGGCCGAAGTTGAAGCTTTTCTTTGTAAATTGAATTGCAGCAATAAAGCATATATCTGTCAATGTAAAATATAATATATTGCAATAAATCGTTGTGAAAATTCTTAGCGGCTGCCGTCATATTACCGGTAAAAAAAAAAGAAATATATATAATCGTGAAATATATGCATAGTATATTAAATAATAGTACACAAAAATAATTGGCTACCAAAACGAAACGTCAACCGGTCAACGTCAATTGTCTATGTTGTGATTCGATTTGCCCACGTTCATAGTGCAACGCAGAAGCAACAGTTGTTCGTCTTAATACAGTGTGAAAATCAACAACAACAACAACAACAGCAACAACAAAGTTCTAATAATCAAATGCTAATGCAAATGATATTCGCACTTTGAAGAAAATAGTAACAGAATAGAGTTCGATCTTTGACTATTCGAAAGTACAAAACTCGATTGTTTGTACATACACATGCATGCATAGTATATATATGTGTGTGTATGTTTGTACACACACACACATGCACGCATACATATACATGTGGTACACAAACTGAAGCCTGAACTGAACCTGAGCAGAAGCATCGAAGTAACCAACTTCAATCCCAACAAATCTTAAACCAGTTTTAAGATACATATTCTTGTTGTTTGTCTGCGTGTGCATGTTGTTGTTTTTATTATGTTTTATTTTTCTTTTCCTATTTCGCATTGTACATACCCTTGCGGAGGTCAATTTACTTTAATGTTAAATGCGTCATGGAAGGAGTCATTAGAAGTATTATTAAAAGCTTAGCATAAAGCTCGCATCGCCAGATTATATACATATTATATAACTTTGGCATACACACACAGACAAAGATTCATATACATATGCATGTTTGCCTGCAAGGGTATCTAGGCTTCGATACGTTCAAATAAACCGTTCTTTCTTCTTTTCGTTTTGTGTTTGAAGTTTTTTGCTGCCTCTGCAAGTTGAAATATGAATGTGTGTGTGTGTGCTCTCTCGCTCAAAGCTATGCCTGTATGTATGTGTATGTGCAAGCATAAGTCGGATACCCTTTGGCTGTTTCGCTTTACCTCGGCTTAAACTAATCGCGTGATGATTTTGTTGTTGTTATTGCTCTTGCTATTGTTGTTGTTGCTGCTGTTCTCGTTGTTGCTGTTGTAATTCAATGTATACCTGCAACAAGTACGGCACGTCTTGGCAGCTTTGTCTCCTGCCTCCTACGCGATACGCCAGATTAAGGCAATACAATAACAAGTTCAGTTTCCAACCAGATCCCACTACAACTACAGCGACAACTACTTACATCGACAGCCACAGCAGGAAAACAAGCTCTCACTACTTAGATTCCAATTGGAACAATTTTCTAATTGAAACCATTTAAACTGGAATAATAATTATATGTGAGGTAAGCGAAATGCAATTTAAGGTATATAAATTTTTAATTGTAAATATTATATAGAATTTATTTTTAAATTATAATATGAATTAGTTTTGTGACTTAAAGTGTTATTATAAATATAAATTTAGAAAATTTGAATTTAACTGCTTGCAAAAGGACCCTAAATATAGACTTCAATATCGTAAGGATCTGAAAATCACATTCTAGTTTCGTGTTATACTAGTTTAATTCATTTTTATTAATTCTTATTACTCTCTGTCTGTTTATAAAAGTCAGCTATACTATTAAAAAAAAAAAAAAAAAAACTAATTTACATAAGTAAATTTAATTTTACATCCATTTAGGCGATTTATGGCTGCTACTTTTCTTTTCATTTCAAATTTAAGACTTTAACAAATTAAAGAAATACCGTTATATTCGTATTTGTAATGTGGATACAGATCTTTGACTCAACATCGCCAAGGTCTATAATATATGTACATATATAATTGATTCAGAGCTGCCCACTGTAACCGCAATTAATTATAAAACTCTCTGAAACAAAAATGTTTCGTGAAATGTGAAAATTGCTTGGAGAGAGTGTGTTTTCCTATATATTATATACATATACCTAAATGTTATAAGTTTGTAACTGTGTTTGTTTCGTAATGACATTGTCGTAACAAAATTTTCGTAGTTTTTTTGCACAATTTTTTGTGTTTCTATTTTTTGTTGTTGCTCATCAGTGATAAAAATGCAATCAGAAAGTGCTAACGGTCGATCATGAGATATGCTTAATTGATTGATATGAAACGATCAACAAAGCAAAGCCAAAAAACAACAACAATATTTTGTGTTTTTTAGCCCTGCAGCGACAAAATTCGGCGATACATTAACTGTACATTAATTTTGTTGGAAACTTCATTCATTTGCATATCGAGAGGGAGAGAGAGAGAGAGAGGGAGAGAGACAGATATTATTATTGCCAACACTCGTAGTCGATCATTAAAGGTTGTTTGGCAAATTAGAAACTAGCCGCCACTTATTGACAGGGATGGCAAAAGCAGAAGAAGAAGAAGAAGATGACGACGACAACTACGACGAAAAGAAATAAAAATGTAGCTGAATTCCACGCTGCACTGTGGCAGCCAGAAACAGAAACCGAAACAGGAAATGAGCCTCCAGACAGTTTGAGTGGAGTTTTTCTTTTAAGTACCTTTCGTTCGCTTGGTCAATGCAGCGAGCCTCTTCTTGTCATTTATTATATATGCGTTTTTTATTTATTTTGCTTATACTCTACCTTTTTTATCAGTCTTGGGTTTCTCTTTTGCTTTGAAGCCATTGGAAATGGAAGTTTTAGATGTATAATGGTTGAGTAAAAGTATTTGTTACTACCAATTAGAGGCTTATCTGAAGCTATATACAATATATGCTATTACTATTTTATATTTACTTTTACTAAATAATGAATATTGGAATTACCTGATAAAATCAAGATTACATCTATCGCTCCTTTCATATATACGAATACATGAATATTTGAAATAGAATAAAATTGATCTATTCAAAGTTTAGTTTGAGCTAGGCCTGAAAATTGCTAATATAAATTAAAATCATCTTAATGAATATATATTTATGTATATAAATTTAAATTAAAATTTTTCTTTTAGCATATACCAATTAGACTCTTTAAATTTTTAACCTAAAATATAAATTCAATCGAAGTTGAGTTGCAAATATATCCATTCAAGAACTATTCACTTTAAACAGCTGCTGGTTTTAGGGTATTTCTTAGTCATGCAATCCGTGTTCCTTTTTCTAAAGTACATTTCCCCCTATAGATCCAAGTCAATATCAGCAACCGTAAGAGTAATTGTTGTTTTTATACAAATTTCTTTCTCTGTGATTGCTAATGCAATTAGAGTATATACTTAGCTATAGCTACTTAATTATAGTCTTTTTGTTAGACCCAAACGCCTTTAGGCTAAAACAGCAATGTATACAGATATTAGACTAGAAATCAAAGCTAATGAGCACACTAAAATTGAATTATTAAAAAAATATATTCTTCTGAGGCTCATGAAAATGTCTATGAGCGAGTGAGACAGAAAGAGAGAGAAACAGTCTGCTATTGTTTTATATATTATGGAATAGAATATTGTATAAGTATTAGCTCATCAATTTGTGTGGTTATTCATATATCTCTTCTGTATTATCTGACATGTATATATATATACTATATGTCGCATATTCTATTTATTAACTTATCAATAACAAGACCAAATTGATTATATAGATCGTGTAATGCTTAAAAATAGACAATGATACACAGCAGTTGGCATTTACGAAYTATTCTGAAATAGTATATAATTTTGGTATAGATTTATTATTATTTTCTATATGTTATATTATATATATTTTGTAAATTCCATTCCTTTTGCGAAGCTTCTGCTTCATTAATGATTGCTTTTATTTTGTATAATAATGTATAATAATAAGAAATTATTATTGAAACTCTTGAAGCTCTCCAGTCTGAACTTTCAGATCATAGCCCTCAGCTCTCAGTTCTTAAGTCCCCACTCTTAGCCCTCATCTCTCTCTCTCTCTCTCTCTCTCTCTCTCTCTCTCTCTCTCTCTCTCTCTCTCTCTCTCGTTGTCTGTTTACACAGATGTCCCGCATTCCAGCAAGCTTGCACTGATCGGACACATAATGAATGTGCAGGTACAGCTGGCCTAGGGCCGGCTCTGCTTTGATACAGCTGAATGGCTTGCACATCCTGCATGGGCCAACAAAAAGAGAATAAACACTTGATGACTTCGTAATGTCTCATATTACAGGATATTACATTGAAATTTCCCAGGCTGTGCCTCAACCACATCATCATCAGCAGACACGCCTGGGTTTTTGTGTGTACATACATACATATAGACATGTTAAACACTTACAAAATTGTAAGATAAACAATAGTTATTATTAAGTATTCCACAATTGTATATATACCATAAAAACTTGTGTAAACTGTGAGTGTTTCTGCACACACTCACACTCACATTCACACTCATATTCACATAGAATATGCCAAGTTTGGTGTAGATATTTTTAAAAAATTCTTCAACTGTTGCCTTTGGCAAATTACTTACAAACCTAAATACATATAAGTGTATATAAATATATACACCTCTCTCTCTTTCGCTCCCACTCTCGCTCTCTCTCTCTCTCTCTTGCTCTCGCTCTCTCTCTCTCTCTCTCGCTCTCTAGGTATGCTCGTTTGTGAGTCTTATTTTGGCTGATGTTGCCGCAGTTAGCGTGACTGAGGCATTCGCCATGCTGAAGTGAGTTTTCAAATTTGATACAAATTTCAGTTTTTGCCGCTTTTCAGCTTTGCAGCTTTTAGTTTTCTTTCTGCCAAATTACTTCGTTGGCAGCCAGTCAACCAAGTCCAAGCAAAGCATCAGACTCTCATGAAAAACTGGCGCAAAATTCAAACACTGCAAATAATTCGAAAGGCATTCAAGATGCCTAAATGCTCGTTGAAGCTGCTGCTGCTGCTGCTGTTAGCTCTTGTTGCTGTTGTTATTGTTGCTGTTGTTGCTGCTGCTGCAGCTTCAGGGTGGTAATGGAGCGATTTCTGCTGCTGCTGCTTCAAGTGTTAGCCTCCATCGGCCAGACTCAGTCGCGCACTAAATACCAATTGTAACGCCAAACGTTAATCACATTAAAAAAGAGAGAAATAATGAAAATATTCGATGTAGCTACATATTTCATACTTGTTAGAGGCTCATCTATTAATTTAGAGTAAGAGAAGAGTTGGGTAGAGTTGAGATAATTTCTTAGGAAAGAGTATGGAATAGAAAGAGCTTAATGCTCAAGTATTCTAGTTTACTGAGAATGATAATATTTTATATAAATTTATAGAGAATATAGGATGTCTTTTTCTCTGTCATTTATTGGATTTGCATATATGTATGTATGTATGTAAATATATTATATTTTGTTTTTATACATACATATGTATTCTTCTCAAACAGTTACAACTTAGCAAAACGTGGGTGAGGTCGTTCGTGTTTACGAAATTCTCTTGATGATCCAGAATCGAGACTTTTCTGTAGCTGTACAAATAATTTGTTTGCAATTTGTGTGTGAAACCTTGTTCATTGATCGCTTAGTAATAGTCAACAATTGAATGACTCAAAGTTGAAATATGAAAAGGTCACTAAAAAGCAATTTACTGTATTATTAAATTTTTGCTATATTAATTTCCTGGAACTTTTCATTTCATGGAAATTATTCAGATTTTAAGGCGTTGCTCTTCAGATTTATTTTCATAAAACTTTCATAGCTTGTGATTTGTATTTATTTTGGATTTGAATTCTGGATTTGTATGTATGTACATATGTATTGTAAATATGTTAACATTTACATACATACATAACATTTACTTCGATTGAGCTTTTATGTAGGACTAGATTATTTAGTCTATAGCATTGTATTTGTTATTGTTTTCCATTTATTGATATGTTAAAAAAATGTAATAGAAGAAAATTATACATACACTAGCTGGCCCGGCAAACGTTGCATTGCCCTCTATATTATTTCTAGGTAAAAAATTGTTGAAAGCTATGTTGTTCAGGYTRGGATACACTGATAAATTTATTAATCGGATTTTCATTCAAGCACCTTGTTGTAAACGACATTCTTCGTTTTTTGGTCGGGTGCAAGAACAAATAATGCGGATCGTTTGCCAACACGTGAGCATGCCACGTACAATTGACCATGAGAAAAACACGCATTTTCTAGATTGAGGCCACAAATAGTCAAAGATTGGCCCTGTGACTTGTTGATNTTTTTTTTTTTTGTTGAATAGTCTGGCCTGCTCGAGGCTGTGCCGTAGACTGACTGACTACATTTGTTTATTTACTTCTACACTATTGTCAAAACTGTCACTGTTACCAAGCCTACTGGGTATAAAAAAAATTTGAACATTTGGGGAAAAAACCGCGTTTTTCAAGTATTCGGCAAATTTTTTCAGTATTTTTAAGACCCTATACTAAACTCGTTGCGGAGACAAATCCAACAAATCAAAAACCATGAAAAT